GGATCTGAAATTTATATCAGAATTATCCAAAATATATGAAATTATATAAAGAGTGCATACCTCGTCCAAGGCCAAACAGCTCCCTTAATTCTATCGAGCTGCACCAAAGTGCACACACTAATAGATATCAGTCCCCTGAATATGCCAGATTTGTTTCAAGATCTATGAATTATTTCCTGTAAAATTGGTTAAAAAAAGTCACAAAATGCAATGTTTAAGAAAGTGAAATAAAATATTCTATATGTGCCCCTTCCTCCACCTTGCAGGTGTATATGAAGTGACACCATCAAGGTCTTACATTTACATCAAGTGAAATACTCCAATCTCAATCTAAAAAAAATGACCATAAGGAAATTGAAGTCTAGAGCTATGTGACAAAATACTCTCATAGGTCAGGACACAGGACACTCACAACACCATGCAACTTACACAGCAGGTAAGGTGTACACGGGTGCATTTTGGGAAGGACTGTGTGTTTGTGTTTACTGGGGGGGAGATGGGTGTGGTAGCAGGAGATAGTATGACGGCGGAGGACCGGGCTGGGACAAGCCTAATTAATGTTTCAGATGGTCTGTGGCACTGGGCTGCTGTGAGGAGGCTTTCAGTGAGTTGCTCTGCTTCCCAAGCTGCTCAATAATGGATAGAGAGTCCGGTGTGGTCTCGGCCAGCTAGCCCACTGCTACTAGTCTAGACAGTCTTCTAAAGGCCACACTGTGTTAACTAAGCTAATTATCAAAGCAAAGGTAGTGTTAGAAAGACGCTAAGATGACGATGAAGATAGAAATCCTTATAAATACCAAACAAACCCAGCTGATGACCTGAGTTGACCACTTAGAATCTTTTCTAGTGACAACATGAAGTGAGATTCACAGTGTTTCTTATCATAAGGTCATTACATAAACTGCCATCTTAATAGCCACTCATTACCTACATGTTGGCTCAGATACCCAACACCTGATTCAGTCCAACCACCCCCCCTGCCACAGTTCTCTTCTCTTCTTCCGCCGCTCATTCACTTCACTCCCCAGGGTGGAGAAGGCGGAGGGGACAGATTAAGGGTTTGGAACCCAGGCCAGGGAGGGACAGGGGGACTGCTCCCAACCACAGCTGACATCTGCTAGTTAGCCACTTTACCTTTTTTTGACTAGGCCAAGGCCGCTGAGCACTGAGTATACATAGGCCTGGAGCCAGAGCGTGTTGTGACAACACAGTCGTTCTGAAAGTTCAGCATCGACCTACATCTTTGTAGAAAGGCATCAGAGACAACACAGCTTCAGCTGAGGACTGTGAGGAAGAGGGGTGTTTGAAGCTTGGACGAGATAAAACATTTTGGTAGAAAGTCTCAGATGGCTTTTCTTGTGAGGTTGCCTCTACGGCTGAGTGTTTGGGGGAGGGCTGTGGTTTGCCATATGCCTCAGCAGATGACTCCACCTTCACACTGAGAGGCCAGACTGGACACAGACCCATGCACGTGGACTCAAACCCCCCCCACCAACACACACACAGCTACAAGGAGCGACATGCATGCACAGACGCACACACTCACTGTGTACAGCTTCAAGTAATTACAGTCCAAACAAACAAACATAGATTTAGGGGGTTTGAATGAAGTGTGCACTCGGCTGGGTCTGTTGGGGGAGTGATGCGTGGAGGAAGAGGCCTCTCGCAGGACTGAGTCATACCAGGGTGACACTAAACAACGGGGTCAGGAGGAGAAGAGAGGACGCTCCACTACAAAAGACTACGTGCCCTGTTAGGGAATGAGAAAATGCATATGTACATGGATCGAACATCAACCCACATAGAAGACTATGATTGTTACTTCCACTTAATTTAATTTTAGTACATTATTTTTTACATCTGAGGGAAATTTAAGAAAAGGACGTCTGGACAAAGGAGGAGGAGCTAAGAATAAGAGGTGAAGAGGAGAAGATTGCAGAGTCCCCCTGAGTTAGACATATAACTCACACATCAGAAAACAACTTCTAAACTGTTAAACATTAGGAAAAACGGGAGTACATCATTCTTCACTGATCACATATATATTGATTGTATTCTGAATGGATGCCGACAAACTGTTCTCATGTGTCAACCATCGTCTTACCTGGATGAGATGTGAAGGTACAGTAACTACAGCAACTGACAGCGATGACCTCAGCAAAGCACGCAGTCCATAGAGAAAGGCAGCCAGGGAGTGGCGGTGTGTAGGGTTGTCATGACAACTCAGGTCATCACCCCAAAGAGCAGAGCCAAGAGAGTGAAGGCCAACGCGCAGGATGTTACGTGACTTTGACTATAAGAAAGAGGAGACAAAGAGACGGGGTCGGGGACATAAGAAATGTATAAAGAGCCACGGATGTGTGGGGTATTCAAAGCACAAACACAGAACATATATGATGCAAATAGTTTAATCTAACCCCAGTTCACAGAGTGCATGTGAAGATTAAAGGATAACTGCTTTTGAAGTATTTCAGAAAGGTGCCGCTGTCCTGGGTAGTATTCCCAAAGTCTGGGGAGAGCGACTGGACAGTCTGCTCACCAGCACAGACGATCGGAACACAGTGCCCAAACGTGACTGGACACAACTGCCCAATCACAGAGGCCATCTGACACACTCACAATGGACCTGTCAGACAGGCTTCCAATATGGCTGCCACCCAGAAACCCCAGCACATTCTTGGCACCACTGCGATGCTCTGCAGCCAAGGGGGCCTGGGTAAGGGTGGAGCGCCTTCCCCTTGAAACCCCCCCACCCCGCCACGAGAGATCAACGGTAACCCACTCTCATGAAGACTGAGAAAAAGTGGCCAAACAGTGGCGGGATATATATCACTGTAAGTGAGAGAATGGAGGAGCCTGTCCAAACTGTGAGAGGTTTTTAACCTTTCGCACAATTGCCTTTTATTTGGGTTTTCTTCAGGATGGCTCCTGATTACTGAGGTGAGAGCCAAGAGTGATTAACAAAGCTTGGCCTAAAAATCTGCTCAGCTTTTCCCTTTTTTTTTTTTTCAGCCTCTCCTCTCCTTTATTCCTCCCCCTCCATTATCTCGACCCTCCCAAAATCTCCTCCGTCCCGCTCCCCGTTGCTTCCTCTTCCAACAGTATGACCTAAGCTTCGTTTGGATCTGGATCAGAATCGCAGGCATCTAAGAAAAATAAACCCCATTGTTTCTGGGAGTTTTTCACAGTTGGCTCATAGTTTCCCAGGGGAGAACACTCACTTTGGACTCCACGTTCATCCTCCTCTACATCACTGCTGCACGTCTATGCCTGACTATACTTAAATATCTTCGCTCTGTGTGTGTGCTCCTTTGTCATTATTAGATTTGCCCTGTCTTTGTTTAGCAGGCTACACAGGTTTTTGGGGCACCGAATTAGAAATCTGTTTCTATGTGTGCAGCCCAGCAGGGGGGAACTGTGGTAACACGACTGTTGCTGTGGCAACATCAAGAGGAGAAGCCAAACTTAACGCCTATAGTTTAGCCTATAGAAAAATTAGGGAACTGTGCCAGTAGAGTCCAGCCAAGGACCAGAGGCCAGCCATATAGACTACAGCCAGCCTGGGACCACAACCTAATCACCAGCCATGTCTCTGTGGAGACTCACCGTCCTGCTGCCACTCCTGTCTCACTCATCTCAAAACAAATATGCTCAGGGACACTAATCCTTGTTCTAATCTGTTATTTACATAACACAGTTAATATGAAATTTGCATCTTGTTAAAAATTCATGATGGTAGATTAACAAATAAATGCGCACACACATTGACTATCACCCATACTGGGCATTCTTGTGCCAGTGCCCACGTCGCTCTGTGCTGGTCTGCATTCCTGGACTGTGCCAAAAGCATGTCAGGCGGCCACACTGCTTTAATGATGTCAGCAGTTAATCTGGTTTGTGAGTGACAGCGCTCGGGGAGGGATGGAGGGAAGGAGGGGGGTGGTGGAGGTAAATCCTGTGTGTGAGTGACAGGGGGAGAGGTGGCTCCAGGTGACGAGCAGAGGGGTCACCAAATGTAGGTGAATAGAGCGCACCCACACACACCCACCCACCCACTCACATATATATGCAGGCGTATCACAGTGTTAAGAGAAGAACACTTGGCCCTGTGAAAAATATAAATGGAAATGACAAGTGAGACAGACGGGGCCATCAAAGTTTCTGGCATACTGTGGAGAACGGATGATGACGGTTATTAAAAAGATACATGTCAAATTTAAGACACACACAGGTGAGGCCGACCTGAGGTGAACAGACTTGAGAGAAGCTGTGGTTGGAATGTGACAGAAGAGCTTAGGCTACCAGATGCAGATCTAGTATCTCTTGTTTGAAAATGTTCCACTAATGCACATTATATGAAATGCAAAATAATTTGACGATTAGTAGGCGAGACATTTTCAGATTGGTACACATTAAGTGAGTCACTGAGTTCACCTTTGATGACATTCAATGTTCAATGTAGAAAATGCATATTTGTCTTCTGTGTTGACTCACAGCTCACGCAGCTTATGGCAGGCATATTTAACTTCAGCTCAAAATGTTGTTACTATTGTCATCATCATAAAAAAAAAAAAGAGAGACATATTTGAATATTTCTAACACCCCACTTTACCTCACTTGGATGAACTGGCAAACAGGTAATACAACTTAACATACAGGGAATGACTGTTGTTACCTCCGTCAAAGAAGTTGTTGTTGATGTTTGTTATTTAGAAAGATAACTCAAAAACCCGGTAAAGGGATATGGTATTGGTCAGGGAAGAACCCATTAAAATTTTGGTGTGGATCTGGATCGGGGGGATATAGGGATTGTTTTCATTTTCTTTAACACTGTGAGATTGCGACTTTTTAGGACACAATACATAGATCTTGGTGGAAAAAAACATGCATGTTTAGGAGACTCATATCTGTGAATATAATTTGGTGGGGCTGGATTGAATTGATTGTTAAAAAGATTGTATTGGTTTGCTTAAAGTGGTTGACAGTAATTAGAGATCGTACACATTTTTAAAAGGTTGTAGTTGCGGAAAAAAATAATTGGTGAATTCAGGCAAAAAGACAAAAATTAAAAAAGCAATTCAGTCGTGATTTCTTACCATGGAGGCTGCTACATCAAAGCCCTCCCTGTGTATGACCTCCTGAAGTGATCTCAACAACGCAGTGTAGGACTCAAGCATGGGACTGGAGAGAGAACAGGAAAGAGTGGACACCGTGGAGGAGATAACAGAGAGAGAACACAAAAACAGGGTTACTGTAAAATGTAAATGAAACCATTTTGATAATTTGGGCCAAGCCCATCATCACATCGGCTTAATCCGCCATGACTGCAGCATGGTCGTCCTGACTGTGCTTTTCTGGAGCCACTGAAGCAGACAGATGATCCATATCAAGAGATCCAATTAATTTATTTGGTTGATTAAATTACAACATGACTGGTTCTCCGTCAGCTCCCTGAGGATCTGATTGTGCCGAGACAGACCAATAGACAGACAGACAGACAGATGAGATGCACAAACATACACACAACAAATGATAAGTGAGGGGGGGGGTGGGTGTTTAATGAGCTGATATCTAAAATTAACAGGGAACAGCATTTTGGTGTTTAATCAGGGGTAAGATGTGCACCGCTGACATAGGACATATAGCTGCATCCGTGCAACCATAAGCAATAGTGAAGTGATGGATGGCTGCTGAGCCCACCATGTACCTGTAGGACGGTCACTAGGAATGTTAACCCCATCTTTTTACACAGGGCTCATCACTTAGGAACGCCCCACCAATGACCACTCTGTAGTGAGTCACAGTGGGCTGCTGTGTCAGTTGTCAATTCCACCTGCGGGCAACAGAAGCTGATACACATAGATTGGTCACACACCAATAGCCCTGCATAAAGAACAGCAATACACACTTGTGTTGATTACACTTGCACCAAGTATATCCATGTACTCCATTTCAGTTATTCAGCCCAACAATGGTGCCTTCTGACCCTGCTGGGCCTAATGATAGAGCTGGCTTGGTGAAAGAGGGGAGCCTACCCTCCTTGGCCCCTCTGCCCATGCCCCTGCTCTGAGGTAGGGGGCTGGGGTGGTTTGACGTGCAGTTGAGCGGGAGGTTGCCTCTGGTTGGCAGCCATTGTGTAGGACAGCATTGTGTTTTTGGCTACCCCCACTGAGCACCCCTCATTCAGGTACCAAAAAGGTCTAGGTGCTTAACTACAGGGGCTAGTGCGTCACCTAATTAGGATCATATGCGGGGAAGCTTCTTTATCTCAGTGTTCCTCTTTCAGCGAGGAAAGAAAGGAGGAGAGGAGGCCATGCTTGGTCTTAAACAACAGGATCTGTATCACCTAGAGAGCAATTTGTGCCAATTATGCCTTCAAGTGAAACGGAGCAATTTAACAGCTAGGGTATCAACATGGGGCTGTGGACACGTGCAAGGGGGAGTAGCCTGCTTAGGAGTATGCGTCGTACAAGTGTGTATAATGTGCATAGTGTGTGTGTGTGTGTGTGTGTGTGTGTGTGTGTGTGTGTGTGTGTGTGTGTGTGTCAGTTATGGGGCGGGGCTGGGGGCACAATGGTGCAGTGCAGGTGTAGATTCCTGCTGTCAAAATGTCTATGAGATCTATAACCCATTCAGACACGACACAACAGTACCAATGTGACAGTCACTCACGAGGCTGCCACAAAATATTGCTATCATCCCTGGAAAAGATGTTTTATTATTTTATTATCTCCCTGTTAATGAGCATAAGTTGCAAACTTCATTGTCCACATTTGTGAAAGTGTCGATTTTAAACCGAATCTTTGCGGCATTTAATGTGTTTGCATGGGCGCTCCTTTAAACAGTCTTTGTTTGCTGAAATAAAGGAAGAGGGATTCTATAAAGCCTCCACTACATCCTCTGAGCTCCAGATTGCTGTATTTACTCAGCGTGTGTGTGAGTGTGCCTTCTCGTGCCCTTGTGTCTTCAGCGGTACTCTCTGAGTAAAGAGCCTACATGACCTCTGAACCCTAAGTACACTCAACGCAGGAGAAATCAAACAGACGCTGTGCAAACAAGGGCCTTATTTAAATAGACACACACAACCTTGAGTTGTGAATGTAGCCCTGAAGGGTAAATGACTTGAGGCCAACGGTTCAAAACAGAATATAGACCAGAATGGTTTTAACTGATTTGTATAATTTTAAAGGTTTAAAACACTAAATGGTTTGGTATCTAAATTTATTTTTTTAAAAAGCTATTTTGTTTTTGTCTGAAGTGAATATGTTGAAACAATGCATGCTATAAGCTTTTATGTGGGATTGCAAACAGTTATTTAAAAACAAAGAAAAGTAAATGAGTCAAAAGATATGGTAATTTCATCTACTACATTTTTTTATTTTGAAGAAACCTTAAACTATGTTTTTTTTCTGCAGCTACAGGTGATAAATGTGCAGTTTAATTGATAAATTAGCTGACAAATGGAAAAACAATTGTTTAATAATTTAAGTAATATAACAGCAAAAAGCCAAACACGACCTGGTTCCAGCTTGTGAAATGTGGGGATTTGTTGTTTTAAAACATAAATTATAAATTGAATCAACAAGACATATGAATAATGTAACTTGGTTCTTATGTGATGGGCATTCATTTTACTAGTTTCAGATTTTATGGACATTGCAATTAATTAAGAAAAGCAAAATCAATGATGGAAATAACCATCAGTTGCATTCCTTCTGTTTATTGAAGTCTTATAAATGTGAATCTCAGACAAAGGGATGTAACCTCTTCACACAGAAAAAAAACCCCATTCAGTATCTGTTTCTTTTTTCAACAGTATGATCTGCAGTCAATCTTGCTTGAAGTGACTCTGCAATAATCACAGGTCTGTATCGGCTTCAGCTCCGATCAGCACTGTGATGACACCAGGTGGATGTGAGAATATTCACCCCTTTTCTGGCACAATTCTATGACGCACATTTAACTTCTGAATGTTCTGGTAGCTGAGAAAGTAAGAGAAGTAACCACTGTGAATATGCCTGTTCAGAGCTGCTATTAACATCCGTCTCTGTTGACCCGATCACAAGCAGACAGTTCTAAGTAAGTGTGAACGCACTAAAGACATGTGTGTGAGCTGACAAACCTAGAGCTGTCCACTTTATATCGGATCACTCCAGTTGGATTATAATTCCAGGGCTGAACAGGGCCATAGTCACTGGCCTATGTGATGCTTTCTGCTTTTTACTAACCCTATCTTCTCGTACATTCATGATGTTGACACACAAAAAGGAAGAAAAAAAGCATAATTGTGCACTGACAATGTTAAAAAGTCAGTAAATTTTTAGCAGCTTAATTTGTGTTGGATAAAATATCGGCATATTCATTCTTATTTCGGTGTAAAAAAAGGCCAAAATTACTGAGGAGAGCTCACTCTGGTGTTTCTTCTCTCTCTCTAATGCAAATGCTGGTTGCAGAGCTTCTATAGCATGTGCTCTTTGGAGTATGTTGTCTGTCTGCATTGTTGGTTTAGCTGTTTATTCTGTGAACAATGCCATGTTTGCTTACCTGTGTTCTGCAGATGGTGTCTTATTTGTGTAACTGTTTTGTAGACGATGTCGTGTTTGTGCGCCTCTGTTCTGTGGATGGTGTCTCATTGGTTTCTGTGCGTTCTGTGGATGGTGTCTTGTCGTCTTACCTGTGTGTGCTTGATGACTGGGTGGGATGTTCTGGAAGGTAGAAGCGGTGGCACTTGGCTGCCTGGCGAATTTCTGGCTCCATCGTCTTGGAGACGTCGTAGTAGTGGCCGAACCGGGACGAAGACGCCAGGGCACACTGAGGATGAAAACAAGTCACACTCTGGGTAAAAAATATTTGGACTAAGCCCTTCATTTAAAAAGCTGTTTAAGATATATCAGTTAGTACTGACAGCTTTTAATCTTCTTTTCAAAAATGGTTTCCATTTAACTAATTTCAATAAACCTCAACAATAAGGTAATTCATGAGAAAAATAATCTTATTTGTGTTTCTAACATGTTAAATCAGTGTGCTCCACAACACTATGGTAATGCAATTGCATTGTTTATGGGTCAGTCCTCAACATTCCTACAGCAGAGAAGTTAAATAACCACTATGACCACGCTCTTAATCATTTCTTCACATAAATGTCCACTTCTGACTGTGAAAGCAAACGTGTCAGGGACGCAGGGGAAGGCGGATGTTTTCCTGCAGCTGAAAGAGAGAGTTTTAGCTCTTCTCTCTCAGTAAAACCAGGGATTCCATTGTTAGAGGGGCCCTTAATCTACTCCTAATCTGGATTAGGGCCCCCGGTGTGTCCCTCTCCTGGCGGGACGAGGGGGTCAGCAGGGCAGGGGGGTCAGGGGCTCATCTTCTCTTTGTGAGCCAGGCAACCCGCTTAGCGTTCCATCCCCGCCCTGACGGCCTCACCTTTGATCTGATGTCTTCATCGGGAGAGCGACACAGTGTGCTGTGCCAGGAGAGGTGTGTGTAAGGGGAAAGTAAGCGTTGACTCTGGGGGTGAATTTGAGATGCAAATCCTCTGGTGGGGCTTACTAGTGGTTTGTAAAGACGATTTTACAGGGGAAGGGGGAGAGGTGAGGAAAGGACACAGATATAAAGAAGTTTCCAGGGAGAGAGAAAGAAGGAGAGGATCCCCAGGGACACACTGTGTGCTGTTAATCCACATAGCGATATGGATTATAGACCGAAGTGGGGGGGGGGGGACTGCAGAGAAGTAGAAGGGGAGGGTCACCTCTCCTCAAAGCGGAAGAAAGAGTGTAGGGCTGCCGACCCTAGCAGGGGGAAAGGCAGGGATTTGGGGAGAGACAGAGGAGCAGGTCTGGGTCATAGGGTTGAGCGAGCAGACATGTCAATGCACAGACCGCAAAGTACTCTTGTTTCCCAGGCTAAGCAGGGGTGCAGGCGTGTGTGTATGTGTGTATATGAGAGTTGGGGGACCAGTGAAAAGCCTACCTATTGCCAGCTAAGTGTGAGTAATCTGGTACAGCTCTGAAAGGAGAGGCTAAGGCCTTATTCACTCCACAAAGGAGTTTAGAAGCTGATGGATTTAGTGGTGGAGACAATTGCCAAACCACTAAGACCAGAGAGCCAGCGTTATTCTTTTCTCATAGCATCATTAGCAGAGAAACATGTTTGAATTTTGATAAAAGTAGCATGATCACAACACCACCGGTATCCTACAGAATTAGACAACAGAAACAGCCATTGTATCACCTGGTTACCTGAACTTTTGGCAGATTCTGGTAACGCCAAGCGATCTTCATGGCATCCAAACTGTCCCGAGGTTCACAAGGCAGCCTGGGCTGCTCTGGTGGTTTGTGGATAGCGACATCATCCAAGATGGGAGCAGGGAGTTCCTGTTGAAAAACAGACAGTGAGCAAATTCAGTTAAAAAAAACACACAAACAAAGGAAAGGAAAACCCTTTAATGGATGATTTTATCTGGTTTTAACAGATGTTGTTTGATCTTTCTTATTTTAGTTTAGTCTTGTTTTGCTCTGTGTTGTTTTATTCCCATATATTTTGTATTTGGTAAATGACCTTGTGCCCTTGATTGGATAAATGCTACGGAAATAAAGTTTTATCGGAATAATTAAGATAGACTGATATATTTCCTGGGGAATCCTAATAAATTGTCCATGAATCAAATTGACAGGGTTTCTCATGGTGTTTTTACAGTAGTGCACATGAATGACAGAGAGATTAGACAGGAACAATATTCTGTGCAGCAGCACAGAAGAATGAATGATCCTTGAAGTTGTGTGTAATTGTATCACAATTAATAATATCCCTAGTAAAAATTTAACTGAACTAAGTCAAAGTTAGTCCCTTTTAAATTTAAAACTCTAATTCATATTACAAACTCTTTCATCGTGTTAACCAGTAACAAGAGTTTACATGTATGCAACACAAAAGCAACCCTACCCCATTTCTTTCTTCAGAAATGGGGTAGGGTTGGGTGGGAAGTCTGATTGACAAGCTGACTCGAGGAAATGTGGGTTTTAAGTAACCGAGGTGTTGCAGTGCATGTGACCAAGCTTTCCAATTTCCTGCTTTAACCCAATTCTTCCTGTAGTGAGCTGGTTTCTTAAGTGTGCATGTTATTGTAATGCATTAAGTTCAACCATAGCATCTGAAGATTAGCATACCGTGAATGTAGCTGTGAAAACACTAAATGATGTGATATATCCCCATTGGGAGTCCCTGTCTCTTAATAAGCCTTTGACATGTAAAGAGAGGGTGAGGCTGTGACCCCTCCCACTATCAATCAGTGGGAGAGGGGCCCTCCTCCTGTATGCTGGGCAGCAGTCAGCTTCTGGGGTTACAGCTCCCATCACACAGTGATGCATCGGGAAACATTTCAACAATGCGACAACCACACCACCCTCGACCTTTGAGATACCCTCAGTGACCCTGATACATCTTGAGGAAAACTGTGTGTCTGAAATATCTGCTGCATCATTGTCTGATCAGTGTGACACAGGATGAAAACTGTACATTGAACACTTCTAAACACTTATTACTGCTTCTAAAAAAAGGCGGACTATTGCTAACATCTTCTGATGACTAAAGTTTTTTAAAGTGTACAAAAAATCTCTTTTGGACAATTCAGTGGGACATATATATAGGGATGATGCTGAAGTAAACACATCAAGGCACTCACAGCATCTTTGCAGATGGTTTGTCAAGACTTGTGGCTGAGACAAAAATCATACTTTGCATTAAAAAGAACTCCTTCCGAAGAATTTACAGATCACACGACACCTCCTCTCATACCTGTAAGATGTCATCAGGGCTATCCTGAGCTGCCGCCACAAAAAGTTCATGTCGACACACCACTCCCTCTGCCAGGAAGTATTTTAAGATCATACGGGAGTAGCTATCATATCGGTCCTCTTCTGCAAAAGAAAGAAAAGGACAACAATCAGAATTTGAGTGTGATGGAAAATTCAAACAAACACACGACTGAAACTGTCACTCAATGCCACACTGCTAACACTGTCAGCAAGGCCTAAGGAAGGGCTTTAATGATAAAAGTAGGTGCAACATCCCCCAGATGTAAAAATACATCAACCTCAGGTCTAACATTAGAGCTCGTCTCATTCAGATGCCACAGATCCTGTAGGTCATGACCACATCACAGCTGCTGACTGCAAATTGGAGTAACCACACTCGGGCTACCTTTTCCAGGGAACAGATGAAGAGGCGATCAACATGGCACAGAAACATAGTTGTTTCTGTGTGATCTGACAATCAAACTGGACACGACACCTTCAGTTCTCTTGTTAAGTCTCGTCCACCTTCGCCTGTCATTTTTGCAGGCAGCGTCAGAGGTGAGAGGTAGGAACCTGTCTTAGGCATTCACCTGTGCACCCCCCGCTGAGTGCTACCCCGGCTGTCAGGACAACGTACAGGAGGAGACAGAAGTAAGATATGATGGTGCCTGTCCTCAAAACGCCTCCTGACATCTGGTTCACTCAAATCGCTGCTTTTTGTGTGAATTCCAATGGCATCCTTTCATATGTTTCTAGTGTCGATCACATCAGGTGTGTTTCTTATCAAAAAACTAGGTTAAAGAAACACAAGTTACATCTACAGGGGTGACTCATGCATTCAATGGACAAGTAATTATTAAAATACTGTCCCGAAGCAGCCACCCAGCTCTTCCACACTAAATCCTGCATCATCACCATGACCCCCCCCACCCTTCCCGGACACATAACTCTTCCCAGCATGCTACTGCTGCTTCCTGTCACAATCACCATTTTGTAAAGATTTCATAGGCCTCTTCACACAATGACTATCAGTGGGCACAGGGACAAAGGCAGCAGTGACAGTTTAAGGTAATGGGCATACAGCTGACAGCTTGGGAATGACATCCTGACGTGTCATCCTCGAACATCCGGAGAATTCCCTCTCTGCCCTCCCACATCCCTCGTCTATGTCCTCACCTACGGACTCTAGGATGGCCCAGGAAATTCCATGGCTCTTCAATTTGTTGTCGGTGGGGCTCCCTGTTCTCTTATTGATGGGTTTCTAGGTCAGCAGGCCTTTGTGGCTTTCAGCAGGCCCCACAAAGACTCCCAGATGGGCCCTCTCAAGATGGGGCCTATTGTGGTCGTGTTTCTATGGGAGCCTTACAAATGGAACCTCCAGGAGTCATTAGGCTGTTGAGGCGGGGGGTAAGGGGAGGCGGGTGGGAGGTGTTGCGGGGTATAGGCGCAACAGGGGGTGGGGGACGGTCATATCTTTGAGGTAGATCAGTCAGTCTGGACAGTCACGGGACAATTTTTTCCCCTTCTTTTTCTTCATCATTTTTATTATTGTGAATAAGGTTTGTGAAAAGGGGGGGAAGGCCTCGGTTTCATTTGGAGTGGGAGACTCCTGAATCATATCTGCTGAAGCTGCAGGGGGAGGAGACAAAATATCTAGGTCAGAGTGGTTTTTCTCCCCTTCTTCTTTGGTCTATGATGCACTGTTATTTTTATAGAGCCGCTCAGTGGCCATACAGCAGGTAAACAAATAATCACGTCAAAAAGCCTCGAAATAAACAGGAATACAAAAGGTGGTTTTATTGGGTTAATTGCTTATTGGCAGCATCTGTCAACCCCCTGATACTGTATCTGCCCGTCATATCTCTTAAGCCTTTAACTAGTGTGACAGCTGTTCCTCTTTATCAAGCAGTTTGTCGATTTCAGGCTTATGGTGTTATGATTTTTGAGACTTTTCTCTACAAAACAAACTAGTATTGATCACATTATTACTTTTTCTTACCATCGCACCTGTCACTCTGTTAGGTGTCTAATATTGCCTCTCAGATGTGGAAGTTTGAATTTCAAAACCTCTTCTACAGCTGAAAAATACTTTTATAATTCCTGAATTACCCTTACCTCTGTTCTTCTTGTTGAAGAGTGTCTTTGTTTTTAAACCACAAAATTCTTATTATGTTCTGTACTGCACTTATAAGGCTTCAACAGTCTTATGGATTCTGTTATTATGATGCATTATGTGAAGTTAAGTGAACTAAACTGACAAGTATACCCTAATTACGGAAGAAATGGTTACTGGTTTCATAGTACAACGTGTTCAAATTCCTGATGGTTAGTTGTACAGTTTCAACCTTTAATTACTGTGATTACTGTGGTGATTTGGTTGGTACTGCAACAGCATGAGCTGCTAGTGCTCTGGCCATATCATCCATCCACTGTCACCAAACTGCCTGTGTTTAACAGACATTGATATTTTGTCCTGACTCAAGCAAGCTAAAGCATTTATTGTTCAATGTTTATGTTGCACATTTCAAATGGTGTTGGAGCTATATTATTATTTGTATTAATCATTAATATATTGTTTAAGTATTAAACTCAGTGAAATTACTTCAGTTTCTGTATCGGGAGTTTTTGAACATTTTCAGCACATATTAACAATACCGTGATAATACTGATAACCGTGATCATTTTGGTCACATTTTGATCCTGATACAAAATTTTCAGACCATTTCATCTCTAGCTCTAATATATTCTACCTTTTGTGGAGTACTGTTAAGGAATATCCTGTTTCTATTGTGGTGTTCATTGCATACAGAATTGTTTTATATACACTGTTTGTTGTTATACTGTAGCTCTTGTTGTAATACCTCACCTGAAACTTGTTTTATATTCTAATTATAGTTTTTCAGAGTAATATTTAGTTTGTCAGAGGAATAATTATGGGATCTGCTTTTAATACAGTTTATATCGTTTTATATCACCATTAAAACTGTGTTTCAACTCATAATATTTCTTATTAAGTGCATCTCAAAGCTTTAAAATATTAAATTAAAAGCACATTTAGTGGTAACTATCATGTATCTGGGACTGGGTCTCACATGTATAACATGTTTATCATATGAGACCCAGTGGAAGATACTGTAGCTCAGTTCTAGAATCAGCTACTTGATTTTTGGTTGACAAGACAAATATTTATGTGGGACAAATAAAGTAACTGGCTCCTGGTCTAAAGATGTGTGCACATTGTTCTGTAATTTAGGGACAATGTTTGTTTAGAGAATCTGAGTTTGCCCATGTGGGCTGCATAGATGCACTAAACCAAAAACGTGTCTTATAATAATATGGTACAGAGAACTATGATGAATATAATATTTTACCTTTGACTGTGGAAACTGGATGATACAAAATGAGTCCCATTTATTGTGAACTGCATAATGCTCTGTTTTGTAAGATAAAAGATTGATTTTGTAAATATGGTCGATGTGCAAATATTGAGTTTGATGTTTACTTATGAAACATAAATTGACTACATATCTGGAGGCCTGCAAGAAGAGGAGAAAAAAGGCTCTTTATTGTGCAGACTTATAGATATAATAGTTCTCTATGTGATCATTTCATTTTTGGATTTATTAAAAAAAAAAAAATCCTTTTTGGTGTGTGTGTATTTTCTCTTTCTCCCTTTTCATCCTTGTGTTAACATCAGATGAAGATGTATGTGTTTGTAAATTAGGTGTGTCTTGTAATTCCAAGAAGGGATGGGCCAAATACATGAGCATAACAGAAATAAACTAGAACGGCACTCAGTAGAGTTCATACCTCTGCCAAGGCCCAACAGTCCCCTTATGAAACCATCTGAATTCAATAGATCCAGATTTTTTAATTGGATCCGCAGCAAATTGCACAAAATCAGAAATATGAGTCCCCTTAACATTTTTTTTTTTTTATCAAGATAAGTTATTTATTTTTTTAAGAATCTATGAAAATGTTGAAAATACCCTATCAAACATTCACAACGTTAAAGTGAAAAAAAAATCCTGGATCCACACCAAAATTGAACCCCCGCTTCCTTAGGTCATGCCCCACCCCTCTACAAAATTTCATGGAAATCAGTTGAGTAGTTTTTGTGTAATCCTGCTAAAAATCATAAATATATGTATGTGAAAGAAAAATACATTGTCCTCAACTACCTAATGGAAAGAAAGCTTTGTTCCTTCCCTTACAAAAACACAGGAGATGAGAGATCTTCAGACAGAAGCCATACTGGACTGATCCCCCTGTGGTTGACAAATCAGGATGGACAGCTCAAGACACTTCAAAGAAGACAACGACCAGTCTGATAATTTTATGTCTGTGTCTCACAAACAGGCCATCATGGCTAAAGGGGCAGACTGTAGGAGACGACTGCCTGAAACAAACACAAACAAACACACACTCCAAACCCCCCCCATCCCACCCACCCACCCAGCCAGCCACATAACAAAACAGACACACAGACAGCACACTGTGTGCGCACACACATCACTATTTCAGAGACAAACACAAGAGAGCACACACACGCATTTCACCTTTACTGTGTCTCTCATTACCAGATGAAACCAACCGTACATTGATTCACAAAATGGAAGGGAAGAACGCATTAGTGTGTAATCACTGACTCCTGCATCGATTGGGGGGATGAATTAAAGGGCAAAGCAATATCATCAGTTGGTATAGGCCTCAGCTACACACAAATTACAGCTTCAAGGGGAAACAAGATACCTTAACCTTACTGTCTACCAGTGCATATAGCCTCGCCTATGATGAATGATAATAATAATAATAACACTACAGTGGGAGACATTTATGTCTCTAGAAAACACACTTGCTTTGAATGTAATTCGGAAAAGTTCAAAAACACATCCGCGGATGAGCATATTAATTAAGGATCACAGAGGAAGTGTGAACACCTGGGATTCTAACTAGCGACCTTAGGGTCATTACTTCATCTTCCATAGACAGACTCATGCAAACCAGAAAGAGCCAGAGCACAGACAGAGTGTTATTAGGCTCACCAAAAGTGATACTGAATTAGATTTTTAAATTTATTTCATTTTTGGCTTTACAGGAATATATGAATTGTTGGCAAGACTTATAGCCACAGTGATAGCTTTGTGCAGTGTCATTTAAAATCAATGCAACTTTTTGACTGAGAGAGTTGCAAAGAGTTACTAAACAGCTGAAGGCTATAAGGCTTCAGTAAAGAGCAGTAATATGCACCTTCCTGGATTAAAGTATCAATATTACATATGAAGTGTCTTTCAGCAAACCGATTCACTGACAACTACCAAACAAACACCTGCTGTAACAGTGTTTCATCAACTCTCATCTATAGCTCCAGTTAGAGAAAATGTTAATGTGCAGATGGCTTCATTTAGAACACGGCTTTAGGAACTATGATAAATACACATTTCACTTACTCATGAAGTGAAAAGACATGAAGGTTAACTGTAGTTTAGAAAGACTGAACTGTGTACAGTGTTGGACAAATGTCGGGTAAGGCCCAAACATGAGTATTGAGTACTCATGTAATTATGTAGTGAAGCTTATGGTGACTATAATGGGTCAGTGGTCTCTAGTCTGTGCTATTGATACAGTTCATAAATAGCATAGTTTTAAGAAAAGAAAACACATTTTGAATCATGTTTTGTCTTAAATTCATGTGGACCAAAAAACAATAATTAAAATCATGAATCAGAGATTTTATTACTTTGCCAAATCCTGCAGCCCTTGAACTCACTCTTCACTAGAAGGGGTAATTAAAATTTCTAACAAATAAAGTCACAATTGTGTTCAGTGTTGTGTAATAACGGTGCCCTGCTCTCCATAGCTGATACATGATAAGTTTGAACTTAAAGGTTCAGTGAGTAACATTTAGTGAAAATCTAGTGGTGAGGTTGCATGTTGCAGCTGAATACCCTTCACCTCACCCTCCCCTCCCGAAACATGACAGAGAAAAAACATGGCGCCCGATGTACAATTTTAATGAAACACACTATTGAAAACATCACTAGCATTATTTCATATAATTTAACTAAATCTTACACACTGAACCTTTAAGACCGATTCCTCCTCGTAAAATCTTCTTCTTTTACTGTTTCAATACATCACATGAAATAATGACACCAATTCACAGGGCCTGTAAATAGACAAATATTTGAAATGAAGAGCGATACACTCACCAATGAGAAGTACTGTTCCCACTGCTAAACCACCACCTGTTTGTGGATTGAGAAAAAAAGAAAGAAAACATCAGTTATTCTCAATAACATCAGTAACATGTTACAGAGTCTGTCTTTCTCAGCATCGGTGTGAATCACCTGGAGCCTCGCTCTGCTCTACCTCTGCTACCTCCATCACTTTTTACTCTGGTACCCACAACTGTGTGTGTTCCTTTGCACAGCAGACATTTTGAATTGCTATGGTAATAAGTTTGCCAATAAGTCACAAGTGTGTGACAGTGAGCACATTAGCAGGACTATGAAACCAAAGCATCTAAATGGAATACAACAATCATTATTTTTTACTCTGTGCTTTTCTTACTGTGGTACATCAAATTATATATCTCACATTTTGACATTGGTTATGGCAAAAGATCCATTAACTCAGTTTTAAAAAATTAGACCATTGGATGATAGATGTGATGTCTAAATGAGTTTGTATTTCACTCATTGTAATCCACAGTGTTCTGCTTTGGTGCTGTATATAGATGAGTATCAGGGACTACAGTGGATCTGGTGCGTTCAGGGTCAAGACAAACCTTTGCTTGTTTAAAACACAGTCCCAATTAAGACATGAACCATAAAACAAGATTGCCTTATAAAATGAAAAAGAAGACAGGAAAACAAATCTCAACCCAAGTAACAACACAGTTATTCATAAGATGATGGGATAAGTGCCTGGTGGAATCTTTCCTGTGCTCATGAAATACAAAATATGTCAACTTGTGATAAACAACTATTGCTGTTGATGTCATGGGTCAAATGATATAGCATCTGGAAGAAGGCCTCTGCAGGTAAGTAAGTTGGGAGACACTGCGTTTTAAATGGCATGAATATCAAGATGAGGCAGGTGCATCTAATGTTTCTGTCCTACTCTGATCCTGAAGGTGTCTTAAAATCAGGGAGCAGAGTCAGATATAATGTGACACAAGTCATTTTGTATTCTCAAATACAAAATCTCTGAAGACACGACTACAAGCCAACTCTTCACAATGCAATCTAAAACGACTGTCCTCTGTAATTTCAAACGTGACTATCTGTGATGCTAACAGTAACTTGCTCCTGTTCAGTAGTTTGATCTGTCCTGACAGTGACCAAACCCCCTCTCCTGGTGGAATGACAGCTCTGCCCTGAGAGAAATGAATCCCACCGCCACCGTGTCACTGCTGTCAGCGTGTTTATCGAAAGTTACACGAGAAACCACAGTTAGCCGTGTAGCTAGCAGCAGCACTGACCGAGCAGAAAGTCGAGTGAGGTGACACCGGTGGAGACTAAGAGCTGTCCGTTCAGAACCGACGGTCTGGTGCCGGGTATGGAGATCAACTTGCTCCTGGTTCTCTTCTGGAAACTCGTCGTGTTGAACGGGGAGCGTTCAGCCGCGGGTTTACACGCACCGTCCACAGGCGCAGCCATTCTGCTCGTAGCGTGGCGACGCTTGGTAATGTTTTGGAGAGCGTCGTCCAATCAGAGGAGGGTTTGGTGGGGCTCGACCAATGGGAGCAGCGGTTGCTACGGAGCCGCTCGCTGTGGCTGTCGAAGAGGAAGTTCAACCTGTGCAGTGAAGTGCATGGTCGGAGGATTGCAGCGTTCGTTCACAGGTGAGCAAAACTCCGCTAGGACGCGTTAGCTCCCGTCACCTGGTGTGTTTCTGTGTTTCACACGGACTCCCTGAAGGTCTGTGTGCTCTGCATTAACCACACGATATTAAATGATAAGAGAAACCCGTGTCTGGTGGTTTCTACTGCTGCCCACGACCTTGTTAGTTTGTTGCATGACTTTAGACAATCTGGTGAATGTTTGACATAATTAGCTCTTTCTCTCATGACATAAAACAACAAGTACAGTGTACAATATTATATTATATTCAAGTCAAGTCTATTTTATGTGTTGTGTGTGTTGTCCATGGTGCAGCATCAGGGTTAGAATACCACCACTAATGTAGATTTAAAGGAGATTGTAGCTGTTGCATGTGAATGGTGGAAGTTATGTTAAATAAAAAGGAATCAGGTAAAATATGTTTCAGCATAAAGGAGCATGTGTCACTGGATGAAACACACAAACGTTAAAATAGGTGTCATCACTACTTCCTGTCTGTGAAGCAGCTGTAACAGCCAGAGAATGCACTGATTTTGAGGAGTGGTGTGTGTAGAAATATAAAATGCATTAAAAGGATCTCAATTAACACAACATAGCAAGTTATGACTAAACAACATCTTGGTGTACTTTGTACATCCCAAATGTAAAGAACAGATTTGCTTTATGCCACCATATTAGTGTCACCTGGCAAATTAATGTATTGTGATGTTGGCTGCAGTACAACAAAGTATCATGGCACAAAAGAGTTCACTATGTCACAGTAGCTGATTTTATTCTATTCTCTTCCCTGTCAAGGCATGTTCTTTGTAATAAACTAATTTTTAATCTATTTCTGAATTTACATCCTTCGGTTATTCCCTATATATAATGTAATAAACAGGTCATGGACTGCAGTTTTACAAATTCATCATAAAACATATACACTTTAAATCACAAAAAATTACACGTGTATTTGTGGTCGTATACACTGATGTCATGTTAAGCTGTGTCGCTTCACCATTCACATTCATTTCAGAGGGAGGGTTCAGCAGGTGTAAGCGAGGGAAGCTCAGAGCATGACACATTCACAGGAGCAAACCACCGCAGCTCAATAATAGCTGTGGGTAGAGTGTCACTCACATTTTATCATAGAATAATGAGTACTACTTATACTCTACTTAGCAGCACAGTCCTGCTCTGCAACAATTCAGCTCAGTGTAACCTGATGATGAACTGCTGGCATCTTTTAACTGTGTAACATTTTAGACTGTGGTAAACAATGGCATTTGATATCCATTTGGAATTTTCTTGAGAGAGAGAAAAACAATATATTTAGCTAACATATTATACATTATATACACATCGCTCTGAATATACTCTATTTTCTATTTATAATATATAATTAATATTATTTAAGATATCAAATTGGCTGTAAAATACAGGATGAGTACATTTTACTGCACAGAATCTAGTTCTGTTTCAGTATGAAATAATATAAGCACACTGTCAAGTGTCCAACATTAACAAAAACTACAATACTCATATATAGGGTTGAGCACTGAAATGTAAAATGTCTGTCACTGTCACACTCAGCAGCTCCCTTTCACACAGTCTAGGCAAAGCTCAGATGCAAATGCTATACAATAGAAATACAGTAATAGTAATACAACAAATGCAGTAATTCATAATGGATGAATTCTGTGAAGTGGCTTTTCTCATAGGGTTCTTCTGTTGTGCATGCTGGCTCACACTACAAAGGTCACGTCAATATCTACCTTTGTTTTTCCTACTATGACAGGTTGATATATCTGCTATGAAAAACGGAAACTTTCACATATTTGAGAACTCTTAATATTCTGTCTGATCCTGCAAACCACTGTTGGCAGAAGTCCTGCATGTCCACTTTGAATACTGGTTGACGGATGAGTGATAATTGTAATCCTTGAGACAGCTATAAAAAAATTTGTGTGGCAGGGAGAGGCCAGAGGCAGCACAAGATCACAGGATACTGTAAGGCTCCAGAGGAAGCAATCGCCCAACTGCTCACTTTACAAATGCTCTTAGCAGAGGCAGTCCTGCTGTTTTGACAGCACTGTTGAGATTTATATGTGCTGACAGGAGACCAAGGGAATGTATCATGACTGACAACACTGGGCATTGTGGAAAGCCTATATGATACAAATAAGATGCGCTGACTGACCTGCATTTCAGAAGGAGGGGTGCCTGCTTCAGCAGCGCAACGCGCAGGATGCTGGAGCACACTGCTGTGGAAACTTTTCGCCACATCCTCCGCACAATGCCAGTCACCTTATTTCCTTATTCTCCTCAATCCCAATTTAACCTCTGTGCTCTTTAGCACAATACAGCGTGTGGCAGTGTAAACACAGCAGCCTAATTGTACAGAAATAACACAATTTTCTACATTTTCAATGTGTCATCTGTTCATGTATGTTTATTTTCTGCAGTGTTTTTGTCACTTCTTTCAGCCTCTGTATCTGATGGAGCTATATAATGGCAGTAGTCATAACATGTCAGATCTTTCCTGCTCAGACTGTTTTGGTTTCTTCAGTCTAACTCTGCCATCAGTGAAGAACAGCGAGAGAAGCTGTAGATTTGGTTCTGAGGGAGGCAAGATTGTCATCAGCGTGCACCCTATTTGTTTTCTTAGTGTTGAAAGGAAAGTAATATTCTATGGGTGTAAGTACAATAAGCAGAGGATGGGTTTTTGTACACAGCTAATTTTGACTGTACGAATTTGACTTTTTCCATTTATTCATCTCGCATTGTTTGAGGAGCTTTATTTTTGTTCCCTGAGATTTTTTTGCTGATGAAATACAGAACACTTTTTTCAGCTTGACCTATCAGAGAGAAAAAGACTACGAAAAAACTTGCTCATCAAAAACTAAAGGAAATCATATTCTTAAAAATCATAGGTTTATGTTATTGTTGAGGCGAACTGTATATCAGGCTTCGTAATGAGCTGCCCGCAAAACACAAGTAGCTTTGTGAATCTGATACAACACCAGATAAGATCTCTCCATTCTTTCAGCACCAGGCCAGCAGCCGGTGGTCAATACAATAAGACTTAGTGGCTGATTTCTTTTTTCCATTCAGTGTAATTGGCTGGGGACTCTGTCAACCCACACTTCCTTTCACTTCATAGCAGTTGTATTCATATCACTTGGCTATTATTTGCACTGGCTGACCCATTGATTGTAGGTTTAAACCCTCAGCTCCTCAAATAGTAACCTCGCTCAGCTGTTTCACGGCTGTGTTGCCGTTAGCGACAATGAAAAGAGCAATATGGAGATCAGTCGCTTCAAATAAGCCTCTGATAGAAGGCAGACCTAGACGAGATGGGGGCTAGACGCAGCACTCTGTGACTGAGACTCGTACATCTGTCACTCTCCATCCAGCCAGGTGTCTGTGTCGAAATCAGCAGGATTATCTCTGATTGGACTGATAGTTGAAACAGACCCCCCCGGTTGCCAAACCTCCTCCTTTTATATAGCTCACATTAAGATCAAATCAAGCTCTGCGCAACAGGACAAATGCCCCACCCTCCTCTGCCTTCTGCTGCCCAGAGGACAGAGGACATCAGAGGTGGGATTCGTCCCCTCTCCGGTGCTGCCTGCTCCTCCAGACTCCCTTCCATCTGGGATCCTCAGGGAGACGAAGAATATCTGACAAGGGACTTGTAAGCCTCTTAGCCCCCCTGTTGCGCAGCTCTCTCTCAGCCCATGTTTTCCTAATTTAGTTGTGTAAGGAGTCCACTGCAAGGCCCTTGTGTGCTGCTTGGATTGAAATTCTCTTTGTGGCTCTAATAGACTGGCCATGTATATCAATTAACACTACTGAGCCAGTGGCAGGTTCAAATCTCTGGAGACCAGTGGCTGTAATTCCTTTTTCAATGTTTCCTTATGGCTTCAATAATGTGTATTTAATGAGGTATACATTTTTTTAATAGGGTGATGCTGTCTTTCTTATTTGTTTAATTACCTCCACCAAATGTTTTCATCTGGCTCTGTTTGTTTGTCTGTTAGGAGCATTATAAAAATGACTGGACGAATTACCACAGAACATGGTGAAAGGATGTGGTCAGGGAAGAAACCATAACATTTTGAGAGGGAAAAAATCAGGCATTATAATAAGACAGATATTCCAATGAGTGTGTACAATTTGGTCCAACTTGATTGAATATAAAAGGACTGTTCGGCCTTAACCTCAGTGCTATTCTAGTGTATTATTTTCCTGCTTTGGCAGCTTTCAAATCAGCCAAACTTGCGCATTCAATAAAAATTCAACATTATATCTTGTGATCCACGTTGAAAGCAGAAAGTATTTTTCTGTGTATGAATAAATATTTGTATTGAATGAATGATGTTTTTGAAATAATGATGTCATTGATTCATTAGTTAAAGTTAGAAAAGCTTAAAGAAATGTTTCTTGGAATGGATTTTTTTGCCAGTGTTAATTATTAGAGAATGTTTGAATATTGTCATGGTTGTTTCATTGTTTTTAATGAGGAAACCTCTTATGAAAGAACAATAACATCCCACATGATTTTCAGTTTTTGAGTGACTACATTTTCTTTTGGGTGTGTCAACCATTGCGACGTCCAGAGAGTGGCTTTATTCATGTCAGTGCAGATGATGGAATTAGACCTCCATGTTTTATTGTTGCAGTGTGAAAATTGATAGCTGGGTGAATATAATGATAAGCTTCCCCATGTATTGGTACACTTGCAAAAAAGGTTTTTCCTGGTTGCAGCCCCCTCATTAAGAGAATCACAGAATTAAACACACATCAAGTGTTTCCATTGCCAGCTATTCACTTGAGGTCCCCATTTTTCGCCACCAGTAGCACTGTGCTGTGACTGCGGGAGGCCAGTTGCCACAGATGGTTCTGCAGAGTGGGCCGTGCTGACTTTCTTTGTTTTCCCATGAACATGTTTGGCGTGTAATCCTGGATTAACAGAGAGACTTTGTGTTAATTTACAGCTGTAATACAGCATTTATTTAATGTTGGTATTCCCCTAACACACACACACACACACACACACACATGCCGAGTATTAGGGCCAAGATATAGTGTGGGTCGCCTGACTCTTTGCTTTGGAGGATTGGAGGTCACAGAGATCCAATCAGGGGCTTCTGTTGATGTCCACCTCATTCTGAATCCCGAAGGAGTCGCTGCAGCCAGCTCGCCTATACAGTTTCTGTGAAACACATAGGTAGTGCTATTGTCACATTCATGCCACATCACTCCACATGCACACACACAGACACACACTATCAATGACAGAGGGTGCCTCAGAAAACCAGGCGGCTGCATATGGACTCTCTTGATATCAGTCACTGGCCGTGTGATCTTGTTATGCAAAGTCCCTTAATCCCTACCTATGATGAATGCCCACTGGAATTGTGTGTGTGTGTGTGTGTGTGTGTGTGTGTGTGTGTGTGTGTGTGTGTGTTGGGGGGGCTGAAACAGAGATATGAGGGCAGCTGTACGAGAACGCTGTCCACTGTTCTTTGCGAATGAGTGCTAGCAAAGATTCCTGATCCCCAGCCTAGCAGAAGGAAGAACACGTGTGATATCATGTCTGAGGGTGCACTACAGTACCTGGTGAGAGAGATGCCGGCAGAGGAAGCTGAGAGCAAGACAAATAGGGCTGATTATGTTGCCTTAGTGCAGAACTGAGACTCACATTAACCTCGAGACCACTTGCTTCCCAACACGGGCATTATAGGGCGAGAGGTGTTATTGTACCAGCTGGGGGAGAGCTGAGTTTGTAGCTCCTGTGGAACAGAACGAGACACCGGAGCAGGCTGCGACTGGAAAGGGGCACTTCATTTGGGCCCTGTGCTGAGTTTATATATGTGTCCCTCTTCACCTGCTTGGGCGCCACCGTTCGCAGCGGCGGCAAAAAGCAGAAGGTTGCCAGGGGTGATGGTGGAATAGGGGGGTAGAGCGGAGTAGCAGCACACAGGGAGGTGAAAGAATGGAGTTGGTCTTTTTTGGATCACAGAGGATGTCGAATGGGCCAAAGAGACAAACCATGCTAGGGATGAAAGAATAGATAGAGGGTTTAATAGGTGGAATATAGTTGGCATGAATGAGAGAGCATTGTGTCTGTTTGTTTGTGTGTGTGTGAGAAGAGTGGAGGGGGGTAATGGGATTAGGGGTAACACCTTTGGCAGGGCTTGGGAGAGCCACCTGACACCCGGTCTGTTGGGGACCTGGGGAGAAAGGCGGGGTGCAAGGGAGAAATTGGGGGTCTAATCCGTGTCCATCTTTGGGAAGTCATTCCCAGAGCTCTGAGGATTTGGGGCTTTGGTTTCCGCTCTGCTTGCTTTGGTTAATAATACCCTGGGAGGGAGAGGAGACATGGAGAGCGAAATAGGGAAAGAGACAGAAGGAATGGGGGAGATGGAGAAAGAGATTTCTTTACCCTTTGGTGGACTGGCAGGGCAGCAGCCGAAACCAAAACTGCTTGAAGTACAGAATAACCTCTAAACCAAGCTGTATCAGTTCTTTTCTAAATATACACTTGTTTGTGTGTATACGTGTGTGTGTGTGTGTGTGTGTGTGTGTGTGCAGATGCTCCTAGGCACACACTCTCTGTTTGTAAAGATTGACTTACTTTCTTCTGTCCGTCCAACAGGTTGCAGCTTGAGTAAAAGTCAATAACCTGAGTGTGTCTGGGATGTTTGCTCAGAAGACACATGGGTGGTCCTTGTGTGTGTTTGTGTGTCCGAGTGTTTGCAGGGCGGGCGCTCGAGCACTGGGGTGTCTTATCCGTTTCCATGGTGCTGACAGAAGTTGATAACTGTTCTAATAATTGCGGCCGTGGCGGAGGCAGCGGCGTGTCAGGGACTATAGCTCGCAGACGGTGCAGAGCTGCTTGGCTGGATGTGTCACAGCTTCTGTGTTTGTCCCTCACCTCAGCACAAGGTGTTGATTGGTCCATCCTACACTGGAGCAAAGTTCAGGGCAGTTTTTTGGTGTGAACTGGCTGCTCAGCCTCTGAGAATGAAACACCAGGGAATGTGCCATCTTAGCGGTAGGCCAACTGTGACAACCTTGTCCACACCCTGAGCAATTAAACCCCAAACAGCCTTTTGTTTTTAGAAATCCTGTTGAGGACGTAAGCCTACGATATATGTTCAGACATTGAATCATTTCCTCACCTCTGTACAGAGAATTTGATAACAGCATTATATTTATTTTACATTGAGCCATAACCTATGTTTGTGTTTTGTGCTGCAGGTGGAGATGTTCCGCCGTGTGCTGGGGACCACTTTGGGTTTTGTGGGCTACACGGTCCAGTATGGCTGTATTGCACATTGTGCCTTTGAATACTTCGGAGAATTTGTGGTGGTTGGTATCAATAATCTCACAGAATTAATGGCTGATACTTTTTTCTTAGGGATGTGCAATAAAACTATATCAATAATTATTCCAACATTATTTTCATCTGTAACAATATAATAAAGATGCAATATATAATGAGATATTGCTTATACACTGAGGAGATTTAACGTCTGATTTTTATCAAGTGTTTGTCATTCACTGATCATAGAGAAGAGTTACAACCTTAACCCAGGAATTAAATTCAGTCTTTAAGCTTAAAAGAAATAATAATTATCATGATTATTATCAAGCACATGGAAATGTTTTTCTTAATATTTTTGGTCATGTTGTCCAGCCCTATTTTCTTAAAATAAAATGAATTAATTTATGCTCAATGAATAATTCTCTTCTTGTTGTGCTTCAGTGCTCCGGTCCATCAATGGAGCCGACTATTGTCAACCATGATATTGTCTTCTCAGAGAGGATGAGTCGTCACCTATGCAAAATAGAAAAGTGAGTTCAGTCAGGAACTCAGGAGGCGACAGTAACCATGTTGGAATAAGTATTATGTACTGTGTGTGTATATATACATGCATATATGGATATATAGCATTTAATTTGCATTTTTGATCACCTGTAAGATTTTATAGTCCTTTTTTAAAAGGTTGTCGATATAGTTAAGGAAAAGATGTCAGCTAATTTATAGCACAACGTAGTATACAATACATATACAGGATATTTTGGATGATGACTGTTAATGAACTTATCTTGAGTTTTTACTTAAGTGATTGTCTTAATTTTTTCTTTTCAGGGGGGATGTGGTGATTGCAAAGAGTCCATCCAACCCAAATATGAACATTTGTAAAAGGGTAATTGGGCTGGAGGGAGATAAAGTCTGCACAAGTTCCCCATCAGACATGTTCAAGTCCCACACATATGTGAGTATGTTTACATACAATGCCATATCTGTTGAAATGAATTCCAGCTTCTTTTCTCGTACGTCCTGTGATTACCTGCTTTACCAACTGAGATTCCTCGTGGCAGTTTTATGGTTTTGCCTCCAGCATCTACAACTCAGAGTCTCTTTAAAAGAAAAAAGGTTTAAAAGATGACGGGGAAATAGAGAATCAGTGAAGAATGTGTTTATAGCAAAGCACTTGAAAGTTTGTTTCACCCTTAAATGACAAAAAGAATTTCTATGCATAATGCAAAACCGTCTCTCAGTTTGTCGTTGGTTTTCTTTGTGTGTGTGCCGGAGTCTATAGACTATCATAGTTGTTTACATTTTAGACCGCACACATCCATTTTGTGTCATTGGTCAAAATATCAGCTTTTGACAACACCTATATTTCCTCAGAACAGTGATAAAACCAGAGAGAGAGCAGGGGTTCTGCCGCTGAAACCACTGTCATTGCTTTTCTATTACTACTCTCCCCAACGCCCACAGCTCAGGCCTGCAATCTCTCTGAAGCCTGTTAGAGTTAGTGCCAGCCGAATGAGCAGACTGATGGGTGGGTGGAGATGTGTGTGTGTGTGTGAGTGTGTACATATGTCTGCAAAGCAAAGGTTGCGTTTATGTTGCATGTTTTTGAATTTATTGTGTATTTTATAGACTGGGCAGGCTGTTGAATGGGTTCAGTGGAACATAGCATAAGGCCAAGCCTGTAAGTGTCATTCAGCAAATGAAATGGGAAATAAAGAGGTTACCTCTTAGGCCAGCTTCACTTCCACACACCGACTGCAGAACATGTAAAATGAGACATTGTGATCTCAGGATGTAGTAACTTACTTTCAAGTCTCAGTTCAAGTCATTTTTTAAACTGGCCAGTAGGTTTAGAGCTACTAGAATGAAGCTGATTTACCACTATTCATTTTATTTTAATTTTCTACTTATACGAGTAACATGATATGTGATGATATTTATTGTTTCGTATTTAGTGTGTCACTTTGTAACTGTCAGGTAATCTGAACTGGTCCTTGTTGATCTGCTTCAAACAATAATAAACATGAACTATTGAGAATTTTTTAAGTTCAGTACTTAGATTCATTGAAGGCCCGACTGTGTAACAGTGTGATCACTTTTACATTGTGGTCAACTTTAGTTTAACAGAAATTTAATTTTGTAACTTCCCAACAATGTAACAGGTCTGAGAAACTAAGTTGGTCACTGAAGTACAAAATTATTTACTTCAAAAATTATTCAGAAGGCTGAGGCTATTACAGCTCATCCTGTGTTTTTATAACATCAGTAAGCACCAGTGAATAAAACAGCTGAGATTAAACAACCAACATATGAGTCAGTAGGAACTTGCAAACTATTTCACATTAGTAGAGCCGACACCCAACATGGCGAACCAGAATACGCGAAATCTACTTTTACACCAGGCTTCACGATGGTGTGACTTGTATCTCAGAGGAAGAGCACAATGTCTGAGGTTCAGTGGGAAGTGGGAAAGTTCACCCTCAGTCTAAAGGATGGAGATCCCCCTGGGGTCGGTTCTAGATCCATTGCCTTTTAGCATCTTCCATACACTTGTCAACCACAAGTAGTAAGGAGCCAACTTTACATTTAACATCGTAATGTCTTGAGTTCTCTCACTTGACACTCGATTAAAAAAAACATTCAAAAGTCAAAAAACAATAAGGTGGCATCAAATGTCACATATTAGAGAAACAATGTTTCCACCTTCGTCTTCATTAGCCGTTCAGACCTACAGCTTATTTTTGAATGCCGACATTGTCATTCTTCCTCTCTGTTTTATTAATGTGTTTCTTGTTTAGTCTAGTCGGAGTAAAATCGAACTGTTGAATTTCAGTGAACAAAAACTTTATTTGTAAGTAAACTAAACTGAAATTGTACCATATATTTTTCTAATGGTTACAATTTGTTCTATTTGTCTAACCAGATCAAATTATTGATTTCAAGCATTGGAATGTGGTGCAGGAATAAAGTTTTATATTTGTAAATTAAACCTCAACCTCATTATTACAACAAATGGACCTGGATTGATTTGGTTGTCTGGGGACTGACAGGAGTCGGGCTCATTATGCAAGAATCAGGAGATAGAGAGACAGAAATGCTGCTTTAAACTGTTCAAATAGTCACCAAGACTTGAAATGGTCATTCAGCTAGTTTTCACAAAGCTTTTTTTATTTCTTACACTGTAATAATTGCTTTAGGATGATAATTTAACACCCAAGAGCAGAAGGGCTGGCTGTATGTGACAACATTTGGGAGAAAACATCCGCTGTTCACATAAATATTTGGGCTCCCTTAGGGAGTTTTTTAAACCCCCCAGAGGATGCACGTGTTTGTGTAGATGGTGTGGGAGGCATTAATGTGGACCTGCAAAGGTGAATTTTGGAAAATGGTGTTAGACTCTGTCATCACCTCCTTCTTTTGTTCTGACAGACAGACAGGTCCTCCCTACCCTCAGAGATCCAACTGAAGACTAATTGCCCTGTCACCTTTTAGGAATCATTTCTGTGTCTGAGCCTTTGTGTCAAAACATTGACGCTTGATCCCTGATGTTACAGCAGAGACAGAGAGCAAGAGAGTGACAGAGACAGAGAGAGAGCTGTGCAGTCCTTTGCCGTAAAGATGGACTGAGCAATATGGTGAAAGATGAGCTCTGCACGCCTGTATGTATTTAAGCTGAACATAATTCAGCACCTCAATCATGTTAACATAATGAGCACTGTAATGGTGTGGCTGTTAAACAACACACCTCTCAGTGAGGAGAGCTCTGGTTTCAGCTCCTCTTGACACATCTCTGACAGGTACACAATGCCTCGCGTCGACCCAGCCCACATCCACAGGGCGGGTGCAATCTCTGCCTTCCATCACACCAGAGCTGCTGGCAGGGCAGATTAAAATGACTCTGTGTTGGTCCAACCTGGAGCTTTTGGAAATCGGTAGAGTTGGAAACATCATCTGTTCCGCTTTTAAAAATTAGCTGTCTAAATTGTGTATATGTGCTAAAATAACAAATGACTTGCTTATTTCCTTACCACCCTGTCAACAGTGATTTAACTTTGTTTGAAACAGCATTTTTTTTTAAAGAAACAGCTGTTTGGCAGTAATAGGTTTCATTCAGAAGTTTGCCCTTGACTATGTTTTTCTTTTCCTTGTACATGCACCTGCAACCTGATACGTATAAGCTTTTATCCGTGCGTTTGCCACAGCAGAGCAGTTCAGGTTTCAGACCTCTTCACTATCTCACTTTTCTGAAATACTGCCTGGTTGATCTTTAAAGTGTAGACCTGGGTTTTTCTATGAGGTCATTTGTGTTATTAGGCTCAAAGTCAAAGTCTCATCTTCTGCCGATCGTCGATCAGATTTATTGATTGACCTGCTTTCACTCAGGCTGGATTGTGATAAAGCTGAAGTGTCGTGTTTATCAAAAAAATAACACAAGACACTGAGATCTTAATCAGACCTCTACGTCTTTCAAGATGAGTATTAAATCCTTTTCTTTTTTCAAGGAAGATGAGGAGAAACGGGGGTTCTGGTTTGACAGATGACAAACGGTGGTGTTTCTTCTTCCTGTGCTTGGGAGCCAGCATATGTTGCCATGTTAATGAGGTGTAATGGTGGGAATCCAGCATGCTGACATATGGTTCTCAGATGACTCCTTTAATGATATTCATTTGTGTCGTCGTTATTTAGTGAGTTGTATACCTCGTGTTAGGTCAACATGTCACTGGCTCGTGATTATGTCACATCATCTGTCTCAATTATGGAATATGAAATGAAACGCAGCATCCCACAGTAGGACAGAAAACTCTAATCAGGGAGCCAGGTGACAGGAATGAGGAACGCGAGCAGAGGTGTGACGTCACCTCGGCGCAGATGATGTTCTGCTTCTTTATTCATGTTATTCTCTTTCCTCCAGAGGACTTTTGCCGTTAAAAAGTTAGGCAACACAAAAATAGACTCGTGGATTGTGATGCCCATTATGACAATATAATGTGTTGTTGATCCTGTCTGCACATATAGGGGGGACAGCGCACTTAATTAGGGCCTTGACAAGCCTACTCTCCTAAAGTGATGAGATTAATCATAATTGGTGTCACTGTGAATTAGAGCCCGCTTGGATGACTGCCCCACTGGCAGGTCGGACCGCGGTGGAGACCCTTGGACGCTGCTGCTAGCCGCAGCTTAGCCCTCTTTTTCTCCCTCTTTCCCCCCCTCTTTCCCTCTCTCTCTCTCTCTCTCTCTCTCTCTCTCTCTCTCTCTCTCTCTCCCTCTCTCCCTCTCTGCCCAGCTATCTCAGGCCCCTCTCTAGCTTTGCCCTCCCTGGGTAAGAGGGGCGCAGATCTCAGCCAACAGCCTAATGACCCCGTTTGAAGTTCTTCTAAATCCTTCCCAACCCTGCCCATTACCCATGACCCCTCTCCTAAGACGGTACGGGGTTAAAGAGGGACAGGCAGGTTGACGTTAAGATAGGCTGAGGAGAGAGGGGATGTCTGAGGCGACTCGTTGGGAATAAGGGGTGGGGTTAAGGTATATTTTCAATACATAATAGATCAACTCACTTGAAATAAGTTGATTTCTATTTGATTCCTTTTTTGGTGATAATAATAGTGTTGATTTTGTCCCTTTTTGTGTCTGATGATGTTTTTAGGTTCCAAAAGGCCACGTATGGCTAGAAGGGGATAACCTTAGGAATTCCTCTGACTCACGCAGCTATGGCCCAATTCCCTATGGGCTCATCCGAGGGCGTGTTTGCTTAAAGGTAACAGGGGAAGTGTTTGTGTTGTGTGTGTGTATATTGTCAAGTATTTAAACATGTTTTTCATACAGTCGGAGCAGTTCTGATTAAATCGCTCACACATTGGTTCTAAGATGTGAAGCTCCAACCCATTTATGATGTTGTTGTTCTTCAATTTTCAATTCAAGTCCAGATACTTTGTCCATTTAAACTACAATGTAGAGATGTGAGTCAGTTGGAAGTTCAAAGCAAGTGTGTCTGATTGACTAAAGCCTGGACAACATATTGTCTAGCTTTCCATTCTGCTGTGTTGTCATGTCACTGGATGTCATAGCAACCACGACCCTGGAAACAGGTCAGCCAACCTTCTGTCCATCTGATTGGACAGCGGCACTCCACTGGAGGCCCTGTTACGACAGCTGATGAAATAACAGGATCTCGTACCAAGTCAAATGCATCATTAAAAGGCATATTAGCAAATGTGTCTAAGAAGTGAGATCATGTGTGGTACATAATGGTTAGAGGTGCTTTATTTTGTCATCATATGGGTCTAATCTCGTTTTTAACTCATTGTTTCTTTGTGCCTTTTGTCCCATGCAGCTCTGGCCGCCACATAGTTTTGGGACCCTCAGTGAAAGCCCAACCAGACGGATCATTAAAAGTCACAATGACTCAGATTGACTCATTCAATTTGTTTATACTGTATGTTACTTTGCTTTCAATCTTTTTCAATAAAGCTTGATATTTGTTTAAAGTTTGATTTGTAAAAGTAGTTGTACTTGAATCTTTCCTAATTAACCAGGCTCAAACCCAGTCATTTCAAAGGTATGTTTATTTATTGGGTAATTCTTTGCAATTATACACGCTTCATGATTTTACTGTTTTCATTCTGACTGTCTTGTGTTGTGGAGCTTGTCTGCTGTAGCTGTGGAGCACTGGGAGGAACAGCACTGCGTGAGAAGCAAGTAAAGCTGCGTCTCTGTGGAACTGCTAACAGCAGAGAGCGGGCACAGGCAGAGACGAGATGCACAAGGTGTACATTAATAATCAATCTCATTCAGTTACGAGACAAACAATTAAGTCACAAATCAATGAAGTGAAGACAGAATTATACCGAACTCTAGCAGTTCATACAGTATATTGAATCATAACTTGTAGTTGAATTTAACTGTTTGATTATATGTTTTCTGAAAAGCACTTATAAGACATTTGTGGTCTGTAAACAGGGATATCTTTAAAGCTACAAACCATGACCTCAACAAAAACATATGTCATTACCTTAAAAAGATGTTATTAATGTCCTGTTTACTGCTTTCTTTGTATTATGGTAAAACAAAAGCTCTCATATTCTTTAATATTTCATCAAGCTGCCAGGGCAATAGAAAAAAATGTTAACATTTTGCATTTAACCATAAAATATTAATAAGCACTTAGTAACTGCCACGCTCACCACTGTGAGTGTGTGTGTCACACAGGAAACCAAATGCTGTGCCTGTTATTGGGGTAAAGAATAAAGATTTATATGTATGTGTATATATATATGTTCACATACGTGTATTAGTAAGAATGAAAACAGCATTAGCTGCACATGAATTGAATTCAAATTCTTCAATTCAAAATACATTGATACAATAATTATCTGTAATATTATTGTAATTAAAATGAATAATACAAGTAAAGTAGTTTCTACTCATAAACAGGAGATACAATTGAAACACAAGCGTGCATACAGTATAAACTGCTCTCTGACCAGAGGGACAAACTGCTGCTTGTGATTTGATATTTTCTTCAGCCTGCTGACTCGCACAAAAAACCCTGTTCTGCTGCACATTTCTTAAGCCTGCTCATCCTGCTCAGACCTTCCTGGACACAGAGACGTCAGCACACACACAAACTGAGCCGTAGAAGCTCAGCTGGTCATTCTCCAAGGCAGACAGGGACTCTTCTCCCCACAGCTCCCCAGGGGAAGTGAGTTCCAGGCAGTCGTGGGTCCCTGTCCAGCTGCTTCCTCTGTCTGGAGGGGGCCAGAGGGTCACAGACAAGGCTCCCTGTGACACTGAATTATCTGCCTGAGTGTGATTGTGCCTGCTGGGAGGGACTCTCAAGATTGTGTATGTGTGTGTCTGAGTGCATATGAAAAATATTTATGCTGGGTTTCGCTTCGAGCATATCTTTGTTTCTCAAGGTTTAATATTCATCTGCTGCATGTCAACACGCTGCCAGTGTTAAACTGAAATGCTGACAAGTAATCTTAGCTTGTCCCTTTTAAAGACACTGCCCTTTAGAGGGAGCTCTGCTGTTTACTAATGTAACTGCAGGCCTGCTGGATAAAGACTCTTCTGATGAACATGATTAAGAATGTTAACAAGGTTAAACCTAATGTTTGTAGATTCACACCATCTTAGGTCGCCTGTTTATCTTTTTAACTCTTTTCCCCAAACATGTGGCTTGATTTCTTTACCTGTCATTTAGTTGACTCGTGAACTGCCCGTGTACCTTGCTGTGCTGTCACATGTTGAGTTGTGCCACGAGACCTGAGTTTCAAAGAGATGACCAGGCAGAGGTGTATATCATTATCATGCTGAGTGGGCACAAGGCTGCGAGTGAGGCAGGAGGAGAGAGAGATCAGAGGACAGGGACAACAGACAGCTGTGCTGAGCTGGGCAGCACCACAGAGACAGGCTGTGGGCTGTCAGCAGGGCCGAGGTGTGTCCGCCTCTGTAGAAGACAGGGACAGAGCTGCAGTGTGTTGTGATGTTCTGTATGTTGCTGTGTGTATTTAGCTCTCTATTCGTTGCATCAGGATCAGTATATGACGTCAAATGGGAATTCATTTTGTTATCTTAGCCAAGGAGGTCATGTTGCTGGTTTAGTTTGAAAGGAAGATTTCGCCAAAAATACATCATGGATTTCCAAAAAGCTTGGATCTTTAAGTGCGGATTTGAATCAGAGAATAGTTCATGGATGTTGATGAGAAATCTGTTCAGGGGACTTACTTAGTGTTGCTGGTCTGCCACAGTTTTTTATGATTGAGTGGATAAATAAAAAATATTATTTATTTATTTATTATTATTGTATAATTACCCTTGCCACTGTATTTTCTAAAACTGTTGCACAAACAATATCAAGGAGAGTTCAGCATGGGGAAGATAAAAGTAACTGGGTGCAGAGGGAACTGCAGTGGCTGATAGTTGGATATGTGGCAGGAGACAGGAAGATGGGCTGTATCTGATTCCTTAGTTCCTTTCAGGTTAATTGAATCCTTTAAAAGTGCAGAGACACGTGAAAGAGCGGAGCGGGAAGTATGGGTATAGCGAGTGAGAGGACCGCCCGCCACTGGTAATGGCCTGGTTTGTTTATTTTCATATCCACGGTATAGAGAACGTGACCCAAAAGCAAACTTGGGTCACATGCTGCAGCGTTACTCTGACAGCCAAATGTCTCTCTTAGTCTGCAAACAAAAATATCTCCATCCTAAAGACACACCGCCTCGAGGGGGTCGCTCATGAAACCCTATGCTACCTTTATCGTACTGAACTTTTGCTGCTTTAACTTAGTTGAAGCCATATCAATCACACTGCTGCATGAATCCAATCTTTCTTCAGTTCTCCTCCTCTTCTCTTTGCATATCTCTGTTCTGCTGCATCCTGTTTATTCCCCTCACTTTTTTCTTTACACTCCCTCCCTCTTCCATCCACTTGTGTTGCTGTTTGCTGATCAGGGAATTGCTGCTTTCATTGACGGATCCTTTCATTCTCCTCCTTTTAATCAAGCCTGTTAGTTCTTCTTAATTAAGACATCACAGTCGCATTTGATCAGTCTTGCTGTTCTATGTGTGTGTGTGTGTGTGTGTGTGTGAGAGAGAGAGACAAGGAGAGAGACAGCATAAGAAAGAGTGGGGATACGCTACCAGTCCCTACTCTGTGTGTGAAGATGACTGCACAGCTTCAATTGGGGCACATACACCTCCTCCAACTCTGTTCTGCCAGCCCTTGAGGCTTGTGGTGTGTACATCTCCCACGCCAACAGGCGTCAACCTCCAGAGATCCATACTAGACAGATGGTATTGGAGGCTGGGCAGGGGCGGCGATCGAGCTCCCTACTGTCAGTTTGCTGTGATGATCACACACACCAGGCTGTCAATACTCACAGTCCACTTATCAAAGAGTAAAGAGAAGACGAAGAAACTTGACACAAATAGGATTTAGAAGGCAAAACTTCACTTTTGCTTGATTCCATAGAAGAAGTCAGCTGAACTTCCAAACGCCAAAAGTAACACATGTTGTGCTTTTTGCTTGCAGGGTGTGAATAAAGTCAGTGGGACAGTGAAGCTGAGGGTTTCACAGGAACATTAGCCTGCCTCTGGCCCTGGTACGCCCCCCCCCCACCCCAAAGGCAGCCAACACTATTAGTGCTCCTTCCCTCTAATGGTGCGTGTGGGTGGGATACGGGGAGTGGGGCCTCTGCTGTATGTACAGTACACTCAATGAGGGTCCTAATGGAAAGCTATGGGAGCTCTGTCCTCAGGCAAGGAGTGATGCAGTGAGGGGGGAGGACAGGGAGGGGAAGGGGGATGACAGAAGCCTTAGTCTGACAGGCCTGACCTATATCCCCCCCCTCCCTTTACTTAATAGAGAGAGGGAGATAGTAATTGGCACATACATGTTTGCAGTTGGGAGCGCTCCCTCTCTGAGTCGTGCTTTCTGTGGTCGATATAGAGCAGAAAGTGAGGGTGTGGAGTTTGCTTCATCTCTCCGGTCTGTTTAGAAAATTTGTTTGTCACCTCAAGTTAAGTGAGACGAGCCTCGTCCCGAGAGCGTCATGATTTTTGTCAGTGACATGATCAAAAGTCTAATGGCTTCATTACCGAGAAAAAAACGTAAGCGTGTGCGTCTTCCTCCTCTGATGGTCTGTCAATTAGTCAGCTAGTGTTAGTGAGTCAGAGAAAATAAGGTACACAGTGCGTGTCTGTGTGTGTGTATGTGTGTGTGTGTGTGTGGTCCCCCTGGCATGTCCTGGATCCTGTAGTGGGATACGTCGCTCTTTCTGCCTGGTTTACTGATGGGGGCTGATCGGCTTCCAGACAATTTAGCAAAGGAAACTCTGCACAACAAACATAAACAGACACAGACTGATCCAGGCAATAACAGACAGCGAGCGAGCACACACAAAGAAACGCTCAAACAGCGACACACATGTGGATATGCATACAAAAGATGCAACAATCATCATTCATGAGCTGCGTGAATTTCTATACCACATGGATGTAAGATAAAAGCTGGGATAAGACTGTCAGAGAACCTTCCTGTGCTCTGTTGAGGTTCTTCAGCTGTGGCCCGTGTCGGACTGGCTGAGGCAATGACGTAAACTCCCTGACACTCTCGCCATCTACCCACGTCCTGTCTCTTATTCCCCTACAATCATTCTTCTATGCCTCCCCACCATCACACACACACACACACACACACACACACAAGCTGATGATTCTCCTCTTTCGGATTAGAGCTCGCGGCCTCCTTTTTTTGTCAATGAGGAGTCTATTTGGCCCTAAGGTATACGGGAGGGCAGGGGCAAAGCGAGGGAGGGTGGAGAGAAAGAAAGGCAGAAAGAAAGAGAGGTCAGGATGGAAAACAACTTAGATCTTTAGAGCGGGGCATGGGCCCGAGTGGTGATGGAGAGCTGGCGTGGGGAAGCAGAGCATTGCGTGCGTGTGTGTTTGTGTTCCTCTTCGGTCACTGTAGTTCAAAAGCTGAACCG